CCCAGGCAAGGGGTGGGCGGTGGGAGGTAGGCGTAAGCCCCGGCCAGAACCTGGCTGATGGGTGGCTGCCCTTCTCCAGTAGTCCCCACGGGGGCTGACCACCTGCTCCCGTGGTCCTCCCAGGATGCCTTGTCCGGAGTTCCCCAGCAGGGACCCCCATGCTGACCCCGGAGGCTCCTAGACCTACTGAAAAGGCTGTGGGTGTCATGTTGGGGTGGGGGATTTGAACAGAGCTCCTCTCTACCCTTAACCTGCATCCCGACTTCCCACAGACGGGCTGTTCGGGGCACTGCCCTCCACGCACGCAGCCGCACAGGGGCACAGCACACACCCCTTACACGTGCACAGAGCACGCAGGTACCTGCGCTGCGTGCGCCTAGGCTCGCACCTTCTGCAGGCCCCGTTGCAGACCATGCTGCACCTGAGCAGCTTGGGCCGTGAGGACGAACGCACGTGGGTGGGAGGGTGCTCGCGGGAGAACGAGGTGGTCTTGAGGTGGCGCCGAGACAAAATACATTGGCAGCTGGGCAACTGCTCACTGGCAGCGCTGACGAGGCCATGGAAGGGGTGGGGCTGCAGGGACAGGAGGACTCCATGTGGTGCCTCTCAGGGCTGGGGACCTTCCCCACCGGATGTGGCCCTCCAAATAGGACATTTCGGACGCTGCCTGTGCTGTTAGATCCCGATAAAGGGGAACCAAACCTCACTGCTATGCCGGCCTTCCCAGTCCCCTGGGGGCTCCCGAGGGTGTCAGCGTGTATGGGAGCAGTCTGCTCTCTGTCGAGAACTGAATGCATAGGTCGATATGCAAACAGATACATAAATTCACTGCCATCGAGTGGACGCTGACTCACAGTGACCCTGCAGGACAAGGCAGAGCTGCCCCTGTGGGTCTCCCAGACTCAGTCTTTATGGGAACAGAGTCTGGTCTTTCTCCTGAGCAGCCGCTGGTGGGTTTGAACTGCTACCAGCCAGCTCAGGGTTCACACCCACCAGCCGCTCGGAGGGAGAAAGTCGGGGCTGTAAATACTGACAGCCTGGGACACCCGGGGGGGCCGCTCTGGATGGTGTCTGTGAATTCCAGTTGATGCGCTTGGAGGCTGCCACGTTTTGATGGCACTGAGCTTGGGTTTTGGGGTGCTTGGGTCCGAAAAGCCCTCCCCTTCAGAAGGAGAAGTAAAGAGTGCAGGCCAGCTGCACTAATGGCAAGGGCCCTGCACCCAGGCCTCCTGCTCTGGAGGACACTCAACAGTGTCAGTGACCAAACAGATAATGCAGGCCATGGAAAAGAGCCCTTTGAAGGGGACTGAGGGAGGCCCGTGGGGGTCAGGATTTGGCCAAGAACTCAAACCCGACTCAAAGCTGGTGTGGCACAGTTGCCCACTCGCTACGCTACGGACAGGAAGGGCAGCCGTTGAAGCCCACCGGCCACTCTACAGGGGAAAGATGAGGCTGTCCGCCCACGCAGAGATCGACAGCCCCAGGACCTGTGCAGGGTCCCTGTGTGTTAGAGCCGCCTGGTGGCCGTGGGTTTGTTCGTGGACAGAATGAGGGTTCCTGTGATCTCTGGGTTTCTGAATCTCGGGCCTGTGAGGTCAGAAAGTAGCTCAACACCTGCCTGGAAAGTGGCCCCAAGGCCTTGAGGCAAAAGCTGGGAAAGAAAGTTGGAAATGTGGCAGCCTCCAAGCGCATCTTGTGGGGAGGGTCAGATCGTAGGTGGGTGAATGGGGCACAAGCAAGAAATGGGGCACAAGCAGCTTCGACATTCAGTGCAGTGGGCACCCAGGCCCTGGAAGGGGGACAGTCAGGGAATCCTGTTTGAAGTGACCAGGTGAGAGACGAGGCGTGGAGAAAGCCCGCGAGTATGAGCATCTTCAATGGTTTGCCACAGCGTGGGCCTAGACATTACACGTGTGTTATACCTGCACATCCGTGTCCTCACCCCATGTGAGACATGAGCAGGGGGCAGCTGTGAGGACGAAAAGCCACTTTGGAAGTCACAGAAGGAGTCTGGTATGCACGTGTTAAACCTGCTGCACACCCCAGGGGCCCCCAGAGAGCCATGAGGGGACTGGACGCCAGCACTGTTCCTGCTCCGCCGGGCCTTTCCACCTTTGTTACCACCCCGCCGGGCGGCCATGTCACGTCACGTCAACACTTGGTGAGATTGGAGAAGAAGCATCAAGTCTTCGGGGGCACGGCAGAGAGCATCCTTGCCCCGGGGTTCTAGTGTCTGTACTTGGACGTTTTCTCAGCAGGATCCCAGGCCCTCAGAGCTTTCCAGGCAGCCTGGTGCCCGTGGACACCCTGTGGGTCCACAGGCCCTCAGAGCCGTCCACACGCTCTGTGGTGCCCTGCAAGCCCCCCAGACAGGTAGCCGGGGTAGACCAAGCATCACACCTGTGGACCCCGGGGGACCCCACCCCACCGCATGGTTCTGCAACCCAAGAAGCACTGGAGATACAGCTGTGACCACTCACACATGAAACCATCCGGGAGGGAAAGGGGTCCTTGGGGCAAGTGGCCTTTGGGGGGGCTGCCATGCCAGGGAGGCCAGAGGGAGCTGAACTGGGCCCACGCAGACCCCACAGCAGGCGCCCCCTGTCCTCCTCACAGGCATGTGGTCCCAAGGACAGCGGTCCCATTTGTGGGACGGGGAGCCGGGCACGTGGCCGGTGACGGGGTCAGCAGCCCTGCACGTCAGCAGGCCAGCAGCTTGTCGTTGAGCCTGATGACGTCGCTGACAAAGCTGTCGGCGCCAATGAAGTCGCCCGCGATGATGTTGGTGCAGCGGGCACTGGGCCCTGGGCACTGCTCACGGACCCAGGCGCCCAGGCAGGGCAGGCCGGGCAGCGTCATGGTCTCCAGGGACTGGGAGGGGTGCGCCAACACGTAGCCCAGGTTCTCAGTCAGGTTGATGCCGGCCACAAACAGCCCATCTGGAAAGGGGGGGTGGGCACAGACGGCTCACACCCCACAGCTCCCTCCCGGCTCTCGTGCCCCGCCCGTCCACATCAGCGGGGGAGGGTTTCAGTTCTCACCGTGGACTGCAGGGTCCTCAGACTCAGCCGGAACGGGCTTGTTCACCAAACCCACCCTCAGCATCCCCTGGGAGAGCGAGCTGGTCCTCTGCTCTCGAGAAGAGCAACCCACCCCCATCCCCCGAGGGGATGCCCACTCAGGACAACGCGCAGGACAGGCCAAGCTGCCCCTGTGAGTTTCCCAGCCTGTCTGTCTTCACAGGGGCAGACAGTCTGGTCTTTCTCCCTAGAAACTAATGGGTAGGTAGGTAGGTAAATAGATAGATAGACAGACACAGTACTATCGAGTGGACGCAGACTCACAGCGACCCTGCAGGACAGGGCAGAGCTGCCCCTGAGTTTCCCAGGCTGTCTGTCTTCCCGGGAGCAGACACTCTGGCCTTTCTCCCGAGGAGCAGTTGGTGGGTTTGAACTGCTGACCCTGGGGTGAGCAGCCCAAGGTGTAACCACTGTGCCACCAGGCTCAATAGTGTCATGTGAAGTGTCGTCCACCCTTACAGCAAACACCTCCGTTGGATTTCCTCTTTTCACCACCCTTGGTCCCGAAGCTTTGAGCTCCGCACAGGGGCCCCCTGGAGAACCAGCACTCAGTGTGGAAAGCACACCGGGCCCCCTGCACGCATCCCGGAACCTACCTGGGCGGCCTCCACTCTTCATGGTCTCGAGGTATCGGATGAGTTCGCCGGTCTTCACCTTGTCCCCCCACCAGTAGGGGACGGCCGGCCACAGCTCTGGGTGTCTGCTCACTGGGTCAGGGGCCTCGTAGGACAGCACCACCTGGCGGCCACAGGCCCACAGCTGCCGCAGCGTGGGCACCTCCTGGGGGCAGAGGGAGAAGTTGGGGGGCTGCCACTGTATCAGGCCAGACAGTGACCACCTGTGTCCAGAGGCGGACTCCCTCTGAGAGGGCCCCATTGTGCGGGGGTGGGGGTGGGAGGTCAGCATAACCCGGATGAAGCACACATTAAGGGTCACGCATGGCCCTGTGCGTTCTCACAGCGGGGAGGGTGCCTCCGGCCCCATCACCAGTAACGTCAATCCAGCATCCAAGAACTGGCCGGTGACCCCGGGCGTACAAACAGCCGTAGGTGCGTTCACAGGTGAACGCCTGGCCGTCTACCTCAGAAGCCTGTGCCTTGCAGGGCCGCGCTGAGGCCCAGGGGGCGCCTGCTGGGGCTGGAGCCAGCTCCGCGCTGCCCTGGTCCCCTGGCGGGGGCCACGGGCTGCTAGCTGACCTCGAAAGGTCAGCAGTTCAAAACCACCAGCTGCGCCGTGTGCTCCTGTGCCGACGGACAGCCTCGGACCGCAGGGGCCGTTCCGCCTGCCCCATCCCGCAGGGTCGCTGTGAGAACCCATTGGACGGCAGGGCGGTCTCAATGCCCCTTAGAGGCGGGGGCGGGGAGACCGTGTCACTCGGACTGTGGACGTGTGGTCAGGAGAGACCAGTCCCCGGAGGACGTAGCGCTTGGTCAAGCGGAGGGGCCGCCACAGAGCAAGGCCCCCGAGGAGGTGGGCGGACACAGTGGCTGCAGCGGAGGCTCAGGCATATAGGGACCAGGAGGAGGTGTTTTGTCCGGGTGGACATCAGGCTGCTGCCGAGTCCACCTGAGCTGCCTCCTGAGAACGGCCTGGCTGGTGCTGAACCCTCTGCAAGTCCCTTCAAGGGGCAGCGCAGGTGGGGGCGCTCCGGCCCTGGCTGTGATGGGCTTCAGCACGGCGCCCAGAGCAAGAGGAGGGGTCTGCACACTCACCATCCTTGCAGGGGTGTGGGGCGCAGCAGAGACTCCATGCACCCCAACAGTTTCGCACACGCAGCTTCACTGTGGAAAACGGGGCTTCCGGCGTGGAGCCCAGCCCACTGCAGCGCCTCCCCTGGCTACAGTGGGCGCTGCAGGCTTCCCTGGAGCACCCATGCCCCAGCTCCGGGGTGAACGGGCAAGGAGCCAGGCGCTTAAGCGCTTGCGCCACCAGGACCAAGAGGCTCACGGGGAAAGCGCATCCGGGCGCTGCCAGTTCCCTCTGGCCGCCACGCCTAGACCCTTGTCCCCGCCAGGCCTCCCGGGCCGCCTGATGCCCACGCGAGACCCCCTTTGACCCACCGGCTTACCCCCCGCGGGCAGAGCATGTCTGCAAAGATGTTCTTGATGCAGGAGAC